TCTTTCTTTCTTTCATTCTTTCTTTCTTTCCCTCTTTCTTTCTTTCTTTCTTTCTTTCTTTCTTTCTTTCTTTTTCTCTCTCTCTCTTTCCTTCCTTCCTTCTCTCCTTCCTTCCTTCCTTCCTTCCTTCCTTCCTTTCCTCCCTCCCTCCCTTTCTCTCTTTCTTTCCTTTCTTTCTTTCTTTCTTTCTTTCTTTCTTTCTGTCCTTCCTTCCTTCTCTCTCTCTTTCTTTCTCTCCCTCCCTCCCTCCTCCCTCCCTCCCTCCCTCCCTCCCTCCCTCCCTCCCTCTCTTTCTTTCTTTCTTTCTTTCTTTCTTTCTTTCTTTCTTTCTCTCCTTCCTTCCTTCCTTCCTTCCTTCCTTCCTTCCTTCCTTCCTTCCTTCCTTCCCTCCCTCCCTCCCTCCCTCCCTCCCTCCCTCTCTCTCTCTTTCTTTCTTTCTTTCTTTCTTTCTTTCTTTCTTTCTTTCTTTCTTTCTTTCTTCTTTCTGTCTCTCTTTGAGAAAAATTTTATATTTTATTTATTTTGTTTTGGGGCCACACCCTGAGATACTCAGGGGTTACTCCTGACTCTAGACTCAGGAATTGCTCCTGGCAAGCTCTGGGGACCCTACGGGATGGATGCAGGGGATTAAATTTGGATTGACTACATGCAGGACAAACACCCTATCCACTGTATTGTCTCTGTCCTCCCCCCTCTCTCCCTTCCCCCCTCTCCTCCTTCCTTCCTTCCTTCCTTCCTTCCTTCCTTCCTTCCTTCCTTCCTTTCATTTTTTTCTTTGCCACACCCAACAGGGATCAGGGATTACTCTTGGCTCTGCATTCAGGGATCACTCCTGGTAATGCTCAAGGGGCCCTATGGGATTCTGGGAATCAAATCCACCTCGGTTTGTGTGCAAGGCCAATGCCCTGCCCACTGTACTATCTCTCTGGCCCTCTCTTTCTTTTCTTTTCTATTATTATTTTTTTGGAGGGGGGTGACACCCAATTATGCTCAGAGGCTCGTCTTGGCTTTGCACTCAGGAATTAGTCCTCAGTGCTTGGGGGACCCTATGGGATGCTGGGTATCGAACCCAGGTTGGTTGCATGCAAGGTAAATGCCCTACCTACTGTGCTATTGCTCCAACTCCTTACTTTTTAAAAAAAATTTTATTAGTGAGACACCATGAGGTACAGTTGTAGACTTACAAATTTTTGTGCTTGGGTTTCAATTATCACTTAATCACTTAATCACTTAACTTCCCATTAGTCGTCGATTTGCTCGAGCAGGCGCCAGTAACGTCTCCATTTGTCCCTGTCGTGTGCTAGTGTAGCCCAATGGCATCTGTTCGCTCTGGGAACATGAAGGGCCTCAAACCGATAGTTCATGATCTTGACGAAGAAGTCTGACCATCTGGTAGGTGGGCGGCCACGCGGTCTTTTGACATCCCGTGGAATCCAGTCAGTAACAGCTCTAGTCCAACGGTCGTCTTTAAATCTCATTACGTGACCAGCCCATCTGATTTTCGACACCTTGGCAAATGAGACAGCGTCCCTGATCCTTGATCGTCGACGGATGTCAGAACTCCGGATTCTTTCTCTCATTTGAGTGAAACGTGATATTCCAAGCATAGCTCTTTCTATTCTTCTTTGGGAGACCTGAATAGCATTCTCATCTTGTTTGCGTAGGGCCCAGGTCTCTGAGGCATATGTTAATGCAGGAAGAACAGTGGAATCAAAGAGATGTGCCCGGAGCCGGAGGTTCTTCGTCCTCTTAGCTATTTCTTCGACGTTCTTGAAGGCGTTCCAAGCCGCTCTCTTCCTCCTGCGCAGCTCGGGTGCCAGGTCATTTGTCATGTTGACTTCTCGACCTAGGTACACATAGCTGTTGCATTCGGAGATGATCATTCCATTGAGAGCGAATGGGGCGTCAGGAACGAGGCTGTTTCTCATAAACATTGTCTTCGTAAGATTCAGCTGTAGTCCTACCTTTCCACACTCACGGTCAAAGTCGGCCAGCATTTGTGCCGCTTGGCTGATGTTTGGTGTTATTAAAACAATGTCATCAGCAAAGCGGAGGTGGTGTAGTTGCCGACCATCTATCTTCACTCCCATTCCTTCCCATTCCAGTCGTCGCATGATGTTCTCGAGGGTGGCACTGAAGAGTTTCGGTGAAATGGTATCACCCTGCCGCACCCCTCTCTTGACATCAACGATCACTTCTTTGTAGAATGGTGAGATCCTGGTAGTGAATCCGCAATACAGCTCACGGAGGATCCTGATGTATTGGGCTTGAATGCCCTGATTGGCTAGGGCTTCAATGACCGCTTCCGTCTCAACAGAATCAAAGGCTTCTTTAAATCAATGAACGTTAAACAGAGCGGCATCTTGAAACTCCCGAGAAACCTCAATGAGCTTGGTTATCGTGTGGATATGGTCGATGGTGCTGAATCCTTTGCGGAACCCGGCTTGCTCGCATGGTTGTCCTTCATCTAGTGTTCTGCCAATCCTATTTAGGATGACTCGAGTGAACAACTTGTAGATGACAGACAATAGGCAGATCGGGCGATAGTTGCCAATGTCATGGATGTCTCCCTTCTTGAACAGTAGTACGGTCCTGCTGGTTTTCCATTGGGATGGAACCCTGCATTCAGACAGGTAGCGATGATATCAATTATACAATGATCAAATACCCATCCCTCTACCAGTGCCCATTTCCCACCACCACGGATCCTAGTATCCCTCCCACCCCCCATTCCCCCCCATCCCACCCTGCCTCTGTGGCAGGGCATTCCCTTTTGTTCTCTCTCTTCTTTTGGGTGTTGTGATTTGCAAAAGAGGCAATGAGTGGCATCATGTTTTGTTTATAGTCTACTTTCAGCAGGCTTCTGTTACAAAAGAGGAAGTCATGAAATTTACATACAAGTGGTACTATATGGAAAGTATCATGTTAAGCAAAATGAGTCAGAAAGAGAGAGATAGACATTGCATTCATCTGGGGAACATAAAAGTAACAAAATAGGAGACTAACACCCAAGAATGGCCGAGATTAGTACCAGGAATTTTACTTTTTTGTCTTTTTCATTCTTTCTCTCTCTTTCCTTCTCTTTACTTCTCTTTCTCTCTTTCTTTCTTTCTTTCTTTCTTTCTTTCTCTCTCTCTTTCTCTCTTTGTCCCTCTCTTTCTCCCTTTCTTTCTCTCTTTTTATCTCTTTCTCTCTCTCCCTTCCTTCCTTCCTTCCTTCCTTCCTTCCTTTCTTTCCTTCTTTCCTTCTTTCTTTTCTTTCCTTCTTCTTGGGAGTAGCCCCTGACCACAACTGGGTGCTGTTTGGGGTGACCCCCAAGGAGCAGTGACTAACACCATGAATAACACCGTCCTGTTGACCTCATCTCTGGGAAGGTAGGTGGACCCTTTGCATCTCTGCCACCCTCGGTAATTGGCTTTGGTTTGGTTGTGAGGTTTGCGCAATGACTGTGAGGTAGAACAGGTTCCTGGGAAAGGGGAAGCAGCGTGTTCTTTGCAGGTCGATTCACAGTGGCTGCAGCTTCCATGCAGGGCATCACCAATGTCCACACTCAGACCTTCCACCAGTTTCGGAGGCCCAGTGCATTATTTCAGAGGGAGGTGAGCGGCAGCGAGGCCCAAGAGATACCAGTGTAAAACTGGGCAGCATCTCGGGGATGGAATTAACGGGGCAAGAAAATAATATAGAAAGTCACTGAGAAGGCATTCATGAGCCTTGGGTGGGCTTAGCATGCAGGAGACATGTGGGGCTTCCCAATGAGTGGACAAGGGTGTCTCCAAGGGTCCCTCAGTCTTGTGTATCTTCTGACTTCCCCTTTAATGAGCTGAGGGCAGGGGTGAGGCTTCTGCAAACACACGGGGCTGAAAGTTTGCATCTCCTCTCTATTTCCCCCTTACCCCCGATGCATTCTTCTGCTTGCCTTTGTCCTCACAGCTTTAGATTCTGGGTGTTTGGAGGGCACACCTGGCGATGCTCAGGGTTTACTCCTGGATCTGCACTCAGGAATCACTCCTGGTGATTCTTGAAGGACCTTATGAAATGCTGGGGATCGAACCTGGGTCTGCCCTACCTGCTGTTCTATTGCTCCGGCCACAACAGATTTAAAGATTCTGTACCTCATTCATCGCTTGAGGGTTATAAGGGTGCCTGGAATCTTTTATTGGTGCCCCCAAACCATTGACCAAGAAGACAGATCCCTCAAGGAATGGGTGCAGTAAATGAGGCTCACTCACTGCTGACTCAGTGATACAAGTCAGGAAGCTGAAATGGAGAAACTATGATGGAGGGTCCAAGCAGGTTCTATGGAGCCCAGTACAATGAAAAGGGTTGGCTAAAGAGGGCAGAAGAGGGGTCATGGATAGGTTGAGTGAGAAAGACTGAGGGGAGAGAAAGAAGGAGAGGGAGAGATCGAGACACCTTTCTATAACTCATACAACCGCTCACACATCCATTCATACAATCATTTACCTATCCATCCATCCATCCATCCATCTATTCATGCATCCATCCATGCACCCATACACACTTCCACAAATCCATCTATCCATCCATCCATCCATCCACGCATCCATGCACCTACCATTCTTCCACTCATCCATCCATCCATCCATCCATTATCTACCTATCCATCTATCTATGTATAAAATACCTAGCTATTCTGTGTATGAGTGGAAGAATGAAATGTATTGATTAAGACAATGTATATATGCATTTCTACTTTTACAGAGAATAGGTCCGCTCGAGCAAAGCGATGAACAACGGGAGGACAGTGACAGAGAATGGGAGAGGAGAGCACAGGGTGGGGGGAGGAAGGGAGAGCACGCTCAAACACATTAACCAGTCCAACTTCTCTTTGGCATGGAGAAAAGGAGAAAATTAGGGGTCTTCCACTGCCCACTTGCAGTGCCACTCAGCAAAAAAAAAAAAAAAGAGAGAGAGAGATCATGACGTCAACATTGCACAACTCTGACCCTTCCCCTTCAGCCTGTTACTCAGGACTCTTTGTCATTCGGGACAGGAGGAAGGGAGAAAAGTTTCCCCTCTTTGTAGGACGAAGCCACAGCATGATGTGGTACTTCTGTTTGTTCCTTTTCTGCGGTGAGTATGAGACTGAATGAGGGAATCTGGGGGATGCTGGAGACCAGGGCTGGAAGTACCTAGGGTGCCAGACCGTGGGCTGGCTGGCAAAGGGATCATAGTTCTAAGTTGGAAACTGCAAATATTTTTATTGGGGGAGCCCCAAATCAAACAGTGTAAGGGGATTCTCTCTGCCATGGTAGACTTTCTTCTCTATGGTCATTCCATTTGATCAACCAAACTTCCTTCCTTCCTTCCTTCCTTCCTTCCTTCCTTCCTTCCTTCCTTCCTTCTGCTGCCTTCCCTTCCCTTCCCTTCCCTTCCCTTCCCTTCCCTTCCCTTCCCTTCCCTTCCCTTCCCTTCCCTTCCCTTCCCTTCCTTTCCTTCTTTCTGTCACCCCTGGAGATGCTCAGGGCTTACTCCTGGCTCTGTACTGAAGAATTACTCCTGGTGGGCCTCAGGGGAAGCAGCGTGAGACCACCGAACGCAGGCGGTGGGCCTCAGGGGACCACATGGGATGCTGGGGATGGAACCCAGGTTGACTGTGTTTCATGCAAGTGCCCTCCCTGCTGTCCTATTTCTGCAGCCCACAATTTGTCATGAATTTCCTGAACACTTCTCTATGCCAGGCACTGTTCTAGTTGTATCTGAACACAATGCAGGGAATGAAACTTGGGGGTCTCGCCCAAATTAGGTGTATGCATGCACCATCCCTTAATCTATTTTGCCGGGTTCCCTTCATGTGTGTTTTGAACATCTCCAGAATTTCTTTTGCAATTGCAAGGGGAAGTGATAATCATCCAAGCAATAGAACCCATGCAAAATTAAGTATTGAAAAGTAGGACCAGTTGCTGTAAAGATGCGGTTATTGGGAGCAGGAGTGATAGAACAGATACACATGCCTTGCATGTGGCTGACCTGGGTTCGATCACCGGCATCATCTCATAGGGTCTCCCGAGTGTGTATGCAAAAAAGAAATTATGAAAGACCGCAGCAGCTCTCTCTCACGCCGTCTGCGTTCGGTGGTCTGATGCTGCTTCCCCCACCCTGGGGAGGCCCGTAGCGATGGGTGGATGAAGGAGAAAACGAGGACCAGGCTGGTTGGTGTCAGTTGCAGTTTATTCCGTTTCCATCTTCCTTCTCCTCTGATTCTTCTCCGGCTCTTCCCTCTCCCCAATTCCCCTCATTCTTCTTCTGGGTCCTGCTCCTTCATACTTCTCCTTCCAGCTTCTGCCGCCTGCTTCTGCCTCCCCCTTTTCCAATCTCACAGTCTTAGTTGAATCCCAAATCATGAGGAGTTGGGGTAATAATTACACACAGGTCATACAAACAACAGAGGTAAAGTCCTTCCCTCAGGGGAAGCTTCTTCTAGGACAGATTCTCATTCAGCAGGATGACTGGCCCAAGAGCGGAATCCCATGGGTGTGTTTCTCCTCTCCTTGTCCAACAAACATATAAACATTCATAATATTAATCATTTTGTATGGACACAGTAAGAGATACATTAAGCTTATAGAATCGCTCTCCTGGGCTATCTCGTTACAGATCTCAGACTACAGTATTCAGGCCACATTAGTTTTCTCTTTTTTCCTTTTCTTTTTGGGTCACACCCGGCGATGCACAGGGGTTACTTCTAGCTCTGCACTCAGAAATTAGCCCTGGCGGTGCTCAGGGGACCATATGGGATGCTGGGAATCGAACCCGGGTTGGCCGTGTGCAAGGCAAACGCCCTCCCTGCTGTGCTATCGCTCAAGACCCCACATTAGTCTTTCCTAAACCTAGCAGTGTCCTAATCTCGTCGTTGCTTTTTGGATCATGACAGAATTTGTTTCATGACCGTGCTCTCAACTTCTAGTTAAATATTGTGGCGCTTTGGCCTGGCCCACTTTGATGCCAAGGGAACTCACAGCTTGCCCTGGGTCCATTCAGTCCCTTGTTGGGACCCTTCTTTTGGGGTTTTAGGAAATAAGGGCAACTGAGGCTTAAGTTGAGAAAGCAGAAGTCCAGGAGTGAATATTTTTAGGAGTCAATTAACTCCCAAGTTACAAAAGCATAGCATTAACCCTCTTCCTGTGTCTATACAAAAAGGACGTTGCTTTAACGTAAACTATTCAAAAGACATAAGGAGAGGAGAAAGGCAATATTTAACTTGCAATATAAGTTCAGTGTCCTTAGAAGGATCTGACCTTACAAGTCTGATTAGCGGTAAAAGATGATATACTACTTGGGCAAGAGAGCACAGAGAAGTTACAGATAAGCACAGAGGAATGGAAATGACTCAGGAGCACTGTGATGGGTGTAACCCGATAAACCTAAGCTCCCTGTGGCAAGGGACGAAGGACAAACCAATGTTATCCTACACCCGAGCACTGCCAGGAGTAATTCTGGAGTGGAGAGCCAGGAGTAAGCCCTGAGCATCACCGGGTGTGACCCCCCTTCCAAAAAAAAAAGTTGATAAAAAAGATGCGGTGAATGAAGTCATATTCATCGTTAATAGAATGTATCACTGAGGCTTGTCAAGTATATTTCTTTTAGGTCAGGAAAATAATATTTTTGTCTATTTTGGGGCCACACCCAGAAATGCTCAGGGCTGAGTCCTGGGTCTACACTCAGGGATCAGTCCTGGCAGGCTCACAAAACCCTGTGGAAGGGATGTCGGGGATTGAACCCGGGTCGGCTGTGTGTGAGAAAAGTGCCCTCCCTACTCTACTACACTTTGGTTGCAGGAAAAAAGACATTATTTTGCAGGGTGAGTGATCCCTAAAGAACATCTTGGAAGTCGCAGTTATTTTTCTCTTATTTCTTCTCAGGGTGTTATGATCTGTGTGGAGTGTTGGCAGGACCCAGCCTGGAGTCAGTGTTAGGTAAGTTGGAAGGGAAGGAAGATAAGTTGTCCCAATGTGATGGGAGTCTTTTTTCTGGGAGGAATTTTTTTTCTATCCCAGAAAATTTCATATCAATTGAATTCTTTCTGGAAGCTCATTAGTAGCAGAGGAAGGGATAACATCCAGTTTGGGGGGAGGGGTCACCAGTTTGGCTCTTTCCTTTGTGCGTTGCTGTCATGCCACTGTGTATCTCCAGGCAGGTGCCCTAACCTCTCTGATTTTCAGTTTCTGGTGAAATCACACATCGCCAGAGTTCTTATTTCACAGAGGTAGAAAATTTGGATAAAAAAGAGGCAACCTCATCAGGCCCCTGGTGTGTATGGTGAAAGCTTTGTCAATGCGTGTGTGTTTGCAAGAGGGACGGGTTTAGTTTCTTTAAGTATTCTTCCTTTTATTTTATTTTAATTTTGGGGTCACACCTAGCGATGCTTAGGGATTACTCCTGGCTTTTCACTCAGGAATTGCTCCTGGTGGTACTGGAGCCCTGTGAGATGCCAGAGATCAAAGACAGGTCAGTTGTGTGCCAGGCAAGCGCCCTCCCTGCTGTACTGTCTCTCTAATTTTTGTTTTTGCTTTTTGGGTCACACCCGGAGATGATCAGGGGTTATTCCTGGCTCTACACTCAGTAATCACTACTGGTGGTGCTTGGGGGACCCTATGGGATGCCGGTAATCAAACCCGGGTCATCCGCGTGCAAAACAAACGCACTACCCACTGTACTATCGCTCCAGTCCCCTGCAATATGTCCCAGGTCCCACAAATATACACTTAAATTTTTTTGAGGGGGCCACCCACACATGGCAGTGCTCAGGACTTGTTTCTGGCTCTATGCTGAGAGATCAATCCTGGTGGGCTCAGGGGACCATATTCCATGCCGGGGATCAAACCAGGATCAGCTGCATGCAAGGCAAGTGCCCTCTACGCTGTAGTATCGCTCCAACCCCCTCTATTTCCTTCTTTCCCTCTCCTCCTTCCTACACTCCAGGCTCAAGAGTGATTTGGGTATGTTCTCTTGCAATCCACATAGCAGAGATCAGTGAGATCATACCTTGTTTGTCCTTCTTCTTCTGACTTATGTGATATTCTTTCGTTCCCTCCAAGTTGCAGTGAATCAATTGATTCCATCCTTCTTCACAGCTGCATAGTATTCCATGGCATCTTCCGGGTGCACCTTTATTATCCACACACCTGTTGTTGTTGGACTTCTGGGATTCCACTGCGCGCCTTTGAGTGACAGAGTCTGCCCATGGCTGTCTGTGCGCTGAGTCCTCATGCTCTCTTGCAGGACCAGGGTTCCCAGATGGCAGAACAACTGTCATCATACTTGGTGCATGTGGGCAGCACCGGGGATCGAACTCGAGAACTCATGCTCGAAAAGCAGGAGCTTCGGCTGCTGAGTCCTTCCTGGTCCCTGGCTCGCCCCTGCGTCCTGAGCCCAGTGGCATCCTAGTGCTTACCCTGAAGGATGGTGACCTCCAGTTCTGGCTTCCCCACATGGTGGGCTGTGCATGCTCTTCTGGGGAACCCAGACGACTCACTCCCTTGTCCCAGGGAAGCGTTACCGCGGGAAATGCAGAAACGGCGTGGAAGGAACCAGCGAGTGGGGCGCTCTGGTTGTAGTTTACAAAGACGGGTCAATAAGTGACCACCGCTAATCAGCGACCAGTTCGATGGACAGTCCCAGCTGTCTTTGGGCTTATTATCCTTCCCGCTGCGGCCAGCAGAGGGCGCGCGCGAGCCCGAGTCAGGCCCCGACCCCCCTCTGCAGACTTCTCTGCAGGACGCCCCCAATTCCTGCTTGTGGACACACCCCCATCTTTCCTTCACCATAGGACCACCTGCCCCGCCCCGTCCCCTCTTTCCCTCTCCTCTTGTTAACCTCCTCCCAGTTCCTCCCTCTACTTCATCAGCTCAGGGGCATTGGCACATGCCATGTCTGCTGGAACTCTCTTGCCTTGTATATACTCAAAGTCTCTTTCCCTCCCTTTCTTTATAGGGTTCATTGATCATCTCACTGACACCCCTATTTATTTATTTATTTGTCTTTGGGCCACGTCCAAAGCAGCTCAGGGCTCAACTCCTGGCTCTGTGCTCAAGGATCACTCCTGGTGGGATGGGGAGACTTTGGGATACCAGGGATTGAACCCGGGTCAGCTGTTTGCAGGGCAGAAGCCCTCCCTGCTGTGCTATCGTTCCGGTCCTGACTTCCCTCTTTCCGACAAGGCATCTCAGCGCCCTTCTCTCCAGTTGATCAATTCTGTGGAGGTGCAGAATTTTGTTTGTCTTGCTCCCTGCAGAATCCCATAGTGCATAGAATAGTCTTCCCGTAGGATTGGTGTTTGTATTTGTTGGGGTTCTTCATAGAAAAGTCAGTAGGATGGATAGTTCTGTATCTTTATTATATGCCCACCCACCTTTCTATCCTTCCATCCATCCATCTATCCATCTAGTCCTTCAATCGTTGACCCATCCACCCATCTGTCCAAACATACTAACATTCATCTATTGACCCAACAACACATCCATCTCCCCACCACCCCATCCATCCATCCTTATCCCAGCCCCGTACATGCATACATCAATCTTTCCGTGCTCCTACCCACCCATTCATCCATTCACCCATCCTCTGATCTATCCATCTATCCATCCATCCAACTATTCATTCACTCATCCACACATACATCTAATTATCCCCATCTATCTATTCATCCATTAATCTGTCCACCCATCCTCCCATCCTCCCACTCATATCCACGTACTCATCCACACATCCATTCTCCCATCCGTCCATCCATCCATCCATCCATCCATCCATCCATCCATCCATCCATCCATCCATGTATCCATCCACCCATGCATGCATGCATCCATCCATCCTTCCATCCATGCAAACATTGGGTGAACAGAACTGGCCCATACAATGAGGAGACTGACACATCCAGGACCCACGGGGATGGACAACCAAGGCTCTTAGGCTGGAGACAGTGTGAGCCCATGCGAGGAGACAAACCTGGCAGGGGAGATGTGAGGATGAGATGGGCTGGTGCCTCGCTGCCCGGGACTGGGCAACTCTGAGGGCTCGGGGAGTGCGGGCACTTCTGAGTGAGAGTAAGAGCAAAATGGGGAATTCCTAGAATCTAGGGACCACAAGGGGCCCGAGGCCGGAAGTCTGCAGTGAACAGCGTTGCTGCTGGTGACAAAAGGGGAAGCTAGAAGTGAGAAGAGAGATGGAATCAGGGGCACTGTACAGGGCAGGGAAGTAAACAAGTTCCACAGGCATTGTGGGTGTTTGTGGGTCTACAGATCCCATCAATATGAGCCCGTCTCTTACACATTTTAGGACCTTTATTTAGTTAGTTTCTAAGTCACACCCTTTGGTGCTCATGGGTAGTTCTTGGCTCTGCTCTCAGGAATTACTCCTGGTGCGGCTCAGAGGACCTTATGGGATTGAACCTGGGTTGGCCACATGCAAAGCAAGCATCCCATATTCTGTACTATCTTTCCAGCACCAAATGTTCTAGGGTGTTTAATGAAGAGATTTCCAGATTCTCCAAAGACATTTGGAACAATAATAGACCTCTCTGTCTCTGTCTCTCTGTTTTTGTTTCTTGTGCCACATCTGGCAGTACTCAGGAGCTCAGGGGGACCCTACGGGGTGGCTCGGATCAAACCTGGATCAGCAATGTGCAAGGCAAATGCCCTCCCTGCTGTACTATCCTTCTGGTCTCCCTTCCTCCAGTGTAAACCCAGCTCCCATCTTAGTTATGGATGCAGACTGTTTTCCCAGAAGACCACGTGACCTGAATTTAGGGTTTCGACCTACGTTTGGGGGGAGGGAATGGGGTGGGCACAATTCAACCCTGGGAAGAGTCGCCTTCATCACCTCCTGCGGTGCTCAGAGTCTGCTCTGCCCCGCCCAGGTCCGAACAGGTGTGTGGACACCACCATGTGTCCCGCCTTTGCCGTCTGCAGGAACACCACCGACACCTACCACTGCACGTGTAAACAAGGCTTCCTGTCCAGCAACGGGGCCACCCATTTCCGGGACCCACAAGTGGAATGCAGAGGTGTGAATTCTGCTCCCCTCTAAACGCTCTGGTGCTGGTGGGAAAATAAGGTTCTAAGGTGGTTGAGTAGGGATGTAGTTGATGTTTCTTTTCTCAAATCTTATTTCCTTTGCCCGTTCTCTCCTCCCTCCCCTCTCTTCTCCTCTCCTCCCCTACCATCCCCTTCTTTCTCCTCCCCTCTCCTCTCCTCCCCCTCTCCCCTCCCTTCTCCTTCCCTCTCCTCTCCTCCCCTCCCTTTCCCTCCTCTTTCTTCTCCTCCCCTCCCTTTCCCTTTCCTCTCTTCCTCTTCCCTCTCCTCCCCTCCCCTTCCTCCTCCTCACCCGCCCCTCCTTTCTCCTCCCCTCTCTCCCCTCCCTTCTCCTTCCCTTGCCTCCCCTCCTCTCCCTTTCTCTCCTCTTCTCCTCCCCTCCCTTTCCCTTTCCTCTCTTCCTCTTCCCTCTCCTCCCCTCCTCTCCCTTCTCCTCACCTCTCCCCTTCTTGCTCCTCACTCCTCCGCTCCCTTCGCTTCTCCCCTTCCCTCCTCTCCTCTCCTCTCCTCTCTTTTCTTTATTATTTTTGGGGACCACACCCAGCGATGCTCAGGGTTCTGGTTCTGCACTCAGAAATCACTCCTGGCAGAACTTGGGGGAACCCTGTGGGGTGCCAGGGCTTGAAACTGGTTGGTTGCATGCAAGGCAAGCCCCCTCCCCACTGTCCTATCTCTCTGGCCCTTGTTTCTTCTTTCTCATGGGTGGTTGGGTTTCCTTCCAACATGGAGGCTCCACTTCGAGAACGAGCCTCTTGAGAGAACAGTAAAATTGCACGGTATCTTTATGGTCCAGCATCACTGTTACCTCATCACATGTCTGCTCAGATACAGGGGAGGACGACTAGGGGTTTGATGGAAGGGGTCCTCACATCCCACTGCATCCAGAGATTATAGGATGAACTCTGCGGGTTTAAGTCATCTTTGGAAACTGTGCTGTACCATGAAAAATGAGGCAATCTGCATCCCTGATTCTTTCTCTGCCCAGATATCGATGAGTGTTCTCAAGATCCCCTACTCTGCGGTCCTCATGCTATTTGCAAAAACCAACTTGGTAGATACAAGTGCAGCTGCTCCTCTGGTTTCTCTTCTCCCACTGGAGATTCCTGGGGTCTGGAAAAGTCAAATCGCATTAGCTGTGCAGGTAATGATCCTAGATTCTCAGGTATGTGTATTTTTTTGGGGGGGGGGGCGCACCTGGCGATGCTCAAGGATGACTCCTGGCTCAGGAATCACTCCTGGTGGAGCTTGAGGACTCTATGGGGGATGCTGAGGATCAAACTTGGGTTGGCTGTGTGCAAGGCAAATGCTCTCCCCACTGTACTATCATTCCAGCTTGTGTTTTGGTTAATGGTGGACAACTACCGTTAACTTGAAGATGCATGTTTCTAAATTTAGACACCCAATCTTTTGCATTTTTCCCTCTTCGTATTTGTCCTGGTAGACATTAATGAATGCCTCCAGAGTGGAATCTGCCCAGAACATTCTGAGTGTGTCAACTCCATAGGAAGTTACCAGTGCAAATGCCAACCTGGATTCACCTTGAACAGCTCCATTTGTGAAGGTATAGAGGATCAATTCCTCCTTTTCTATCTACTTACTGAATCAAAAGTCATTTCTTCTGGGGGGCCTGAGAGATAGGACAGGAAGTAAAGGCTTGACTTGTATACAAATGACCCTGGTTAGAATCTCTGGTATCCCATAAAATCCCCTGAGTACCAGTGGGAATGATCCGTAAGCACAGAGCCAGGAATGAACCATGAGCACTGCTGGGTGTGACCGCAAAACAAAACAACAGAAGAATCATTTTATTGATGAGGCTAAGAAGTAGAAACCACGTTCCGCCTTTGAAGGTCGTGAAAATCAAGACTCACAGACTGGCCCACATCCAAAAGACCAAAAGCAACCGGTGTTGGCGAGGATGTGGCTAGAAAGGGACCCTCCCTCACTGCTGGTGGGAATGCCAACTAGTTCAGCCCTTTTGGAAAACAGTATGGACGATCCTCCAAAAATTAGAAATTGAGCTCCCATTTGACCCAGCAATACCACTCCTGGGAATATATCCCAGAGAGGCAAAAAAGTATAGTCGAAGTGACATCTGCACTTGTTTGTTCATTGCAGCACTCTTTACAATAGCTAGAATCTGGAAAAAACCTGAGTGCCCAAGAACAGATGACTGGTTAAAGAAACTTTGGTACATCTACACAACGGAGTACTATGCAGCTGTTAGAAAAGATGAAGTCATGAAAGTTACATACAAGTGGTACTACATGGAAAGTATCATGCTAAGCGAAATGAGTCAGAAAGAGAGGGACAGACATAGAAAGATTGCATTCATCTGGGGAACATAAAGTAACAAAAAAGGAGACTAATGCCCAAGAATAGCCAAGATAAGTACCAGGAGGATTACTCCATGGCTTTGAGGACAGCCGCACATGCTAGGGGAAAAGGCAGCTCAGATAGAGAAGGAAGCACCAAATAAAGGGTGTTGGGAAGTTCCTCTCAGGATGGGAAATGCGTGATGAAAGTAGACTATAGACCGAACAAGATTGCCACTCAATGTCTCTTTTGAAAACCACAGCACTCAAAATGAGAAAGATAGCAAAAGTCAATGCCCTGCCACAGAGGTAGGGTGGGATGGGGGAATGGGGGTGGGTGGGAGGGCTACTGGGACTCGTGGTGGTGGGAAATGGGCACTGGTGGAGGGATGGGTACTCGATCATTGTATAACTGAAACCCAAGCACAAAAATTTGTAAGTCTACAACTGTACCTCATGGTATTTCACTAATAAAAATTTAAGAAGGAAAAAAAATAAAATAAAAAAAGAAAGAAAATTGAGACTCACAGAGGCAGTCACTGCCTAGTTATTTATAGTTCTATTTCGCTTGTTTTGGTGACACACCTAATGGTGTTCAGAGGTTACTCTTCACTCAGGAATCGCCCCTGGAAGTACGTAGGCAACCATATGCGATGCCAGGAATTGAAACTGGGTCGGCCACATGCAAGGCACTCTGACCTATTTATAGCTCCTTTTTCTTTTTTTTTGGGGGGGGGTCACACCTGGCGATTCTCAGGGGTTACTCCTGGATCTTCATTCAGGAATTACTCCAGGGGGTGCTCAGGGGACCATATGGGATGCTGGGAATCAAAGCCGGGTCGACCACGTGCAAGGAAAACGCCCTACCCACTGTGCTATCACTCCGGCCCCCTATTTATAGCTCTTACTTAAATAGAACAAGTGGGATTTGAAGGCCTGTAGAGACCCTTCAGGGTATTCTATAGAAAGAGGCATCTCTGTACTTTGAGTGATGTTCTCCCATCCAGGTGATACCAACGGTGTCTGGAGACATTTTGGTATTGTCCCAGATGGTGGGGGTGAGAGATAGTACTGAGGTTAAGGCACTTGCTTGGATCCTCCAGACCCTGGTTCGAATCCCCGGCACTACGGATGGTCTTTCAGGTGCCGCCAGGGGTCACGCCTGAGCACTGCAGAGTGTGGCCCCTCATGGGAATCCATACCCCCAAATTGAGAAAATTTCCCTAAAATATATTTGAATTGAGACCCAAGAGAATCGGAAGGGTTTTTTTTGACTTTTGAACCACACCATCCTACCCCCACTGTACTATCTCTACAGCCCCTGTTTTTTTTTTTTTTAATTTTCTTTTTAAAAATTTTTAAGGGGCTGGAGCAATAGCACAGCGGGTAGGGCGTTTGCCTTGTACACTGCCGATCCAGGTTCGATTCCCAGCATCCCAGATGGTCCCCTGAGCACTGCCAGGGCTGATTCCTGAGTGCATGAGCCAGGAGTAACTCCTGTGCATCGCCGGGTGTGACCCCCCCAAAAATTTTTTTAGAAAATATTTTTTATTGAATCACTGTGAGATAGACCCTTACAAAGCTGTTCATGTTTGGAGTTCAGTCATACAGTCTTCCAACACCCTCCTCCAGGGTACATTTTCCAGCACCAGGGTCCCTAGGTTCCTTCCCATCACCCTCCCAAATCCCTCTGCCTGCCTTGATAGGTGCTTTTCTACTTCTTTCTTCTTCTTCTTCTTCTTCTTCTTCTTCTTCTTCTTCTTCTTCTTCTTCTTCTTCTTCTTCTTCTTCTTCTTCTTCTCCTTCTCCTTCTCCTTCTCCTTCTCCTTCTCCTTCTCCTTCTCCTTCTCCTTCTCCTTCTCCTTCTCCTTCTCCTTCTCCTTCTCCTTCTTCTTCTTCTTCTTCTTCTTCTTCTTCTTCTTCTTCTTCTTCTTCTTCTTCTTCTTCTTCGTCTCTCTCTCTCTCTCTGTGTCTCTGTCTCCTTTTGGTCTGGGCCCTGTTTTTGATTCTTTATTAGGCCAGTCTAGGCTTGTTCACAGGGCAGAGATCAGGAGACCCAAGGATGAGAAGAAACAAAGAGCCTTCTAGAAGGTCTAAGTTAAGCATCGATTCACTTCTGATGAATTGGCCAACGCAAATCATAGGGTCAGACAGATTCAAGGAGTGGGGAAAATACTCCACACCTCAAAGAGAGGAAGGGCAAGGTCACATGATACCATACAACGAACCTTTCAACAAACACAGACCCCCGTGTTCCAGCAATCTCTATTCTGTGATTTACGCTTATTGTAATGCTCTTTCTCACCCACTGACTTACACTCCATTGTCCAAAATTTATTCTCCTGGCCCTGCCTCCCTGCAAGAGAGCTTAGGAAGAAGAAGGAAGCAAGTGTGCATGGTAACACCACAAGATAAGCACACGGAGAGGGAGTGTCTTCTTTCTGGTCTCCTCTCCTCTTGTCTCCATCTGCTTTAACCCTGACTTTCTTTTCCATTCCCCAGATATAGATGAATGTGCCCATTTCAATCCTTGCCCGGACAATGCATATTGTCACAACAGTTTTGGAAGCTACTCTTGTGTCTGCAGCACTGGATTTGAGTTGGGGAGTGAAAACATGAATTTTCAGGGTTCAGGAGAGATGTGTGAAGGTAAAGAAAAGGGTCTGCTGGGAAATCGGGTCTAAGTTTGGTGGTGGTGGTAGTGAGACCTTGGGTGGATCCCAACTCATGTAAGACCTACGTTTGTAACACTGAAGGCAATCATCATTATTCCCGGTGAAAACGCCCTTCCTGGCTTCCAGATTGTGACTCTCTTGCTAGGTTTTAACACGGAAGAGAGAGAGAAAACTTTGACGCCGCTTTCCTTTCGTGTAAGGACATTAATACCATCCCAAGAAGCCCACCTTCATGATCTCCTTGGAATCAAATTATCTTCCAAAGGCCCCGTGTCTAAAAATATTATCCTGGAGGGGCAGAGGGATAGTACAGTGGGTAGGGCGCTTGTTTTTGCATGCGGTCAACTTGGGTTCAATCCCTGGCATCCCACAGGGTCCCTTGAACCCATCAGGAGTGGTCCTTGAATGCAGAGCCAGGAGTAAGCCCTGAAAACTGATGGATGTGACCCAAACACAAAACAAAAAATTATCTCAGGGATTGGAGTGATAGGACAGCGGGCCAGGCATTGGCCTGGCATGCAGCTGACCTGGCTTTGATCTCCAACATCTCATATGGTCGCCTGAGCCCACCATCAGGAGTTATCCATGAACACAGAGCCATGAGTCAGCCTTGAGCACAGCTGAGTGTGGCCTCCAAACCCCCGAAATGATCTAATTGGATCTGGGGGCTTCAACATATGAATTTGGGGAAGGATATTATTTAATATGTTGTATCTATGGGGATGCAGAATTAGGCAATGAATTCAGGATGTCCATGCTCTCCACCCCTCCACTTCGATGCCTCTGGGCTATGTCTATTAATAATACAGTGGTTCACTGGAGAGGAATGGAGAACCCTCAGGGAAAGATGACAACTGGGGAATTGGAAAACAAGTGAGCACAGACGAGACAGGACCTGCTGGAACTGTACAAATCTGAATCATGTGTTATGAGGTGGTTAGACACCCAAAATTTGGTCGGTGAACTTAGCTCGGAGCAAACTGAATCTCATGGGCTCTCATGGGCATTATCCTAAGCTATGGAAAGTCTCCTTGGAAAATTGACCTGAGTGATAGATATACCTCTAAATGCTTCCTTTCTTGAATGGTGGAAATGTGTTTAGGGCATTAGAATAGGAACCAGGGAATCTTACTGACTTCCCCACAGGTCATCCTTTTGACTAAGATCAATTTTCTTGGTTAGATATAGATGAATGTTTCAGAAACTCAACTCTCTGTGGTCCAAATTCAATCTGTACCAACACCCCAGGACAATACAATTGTTCCTGTCTGTCTGGATTCTTTTCCTCAACTCTTTGGACCTCCGAGGAACCAGAGACTTTTAACTGTACAGGTAATTCCTCCCAGTTGAGAACTTTCTCAAGAGATAACCAACTATTCTTGTTTGAGATCCTTCTTTCCTTCCTTCCTTCCTTCCTTCCTTCCTTCCTTCCTTCCTTCCTTCCTTCCTTCCTTCCTTCCCTCCCCCCTTCCCCTTAATTTTCCCCCTTCTTTATTCCTTCCTCTCTCTTCTTTATTTCTTCCTTCCTTTCCCCTTTACTCTTTCATGCCTTCCTCTTTCTTTATTCCTTCCTCTTTCTCCTTCTCTATTACTTCCTTTCTTTCTCTTCTTTTCTCTCTTCCTCTCCCTTCCTTCCTTCCTTCCTTCCTTCCTTCCTTCCTTCCTCCCTTCCTCCCTCCCTCCCTTCCTTATTCCCTCCATCCCTCCCTCCCTCTCTTTCTCTCTTTTCCCTTCCTTCCTTCCTTCCTTCCTTCCTTCCTTCCTTCCTTCCTTCTTTCTTTCTTTCTTTCTTCCTTCCTTCCTCCCTGTGACAACATAACATGCCTTGCTGGCTCGTTGCTCAATTCTGCCTCATGTCTTCTCTTTCCCCTACAGATATAGATGAGTGTTTTTATATGTGCCCTTTCAATGCCAGTTGTACCAACACTCCTGGAAGCTACTTTTGTACCTGCCACCCGGGCTTTGCATCAAGCAACGGGCAGTTGAACTTCAGAGGCCAAGAAGTGGAATGTCGAGGTGAAGAGAGCATTTGTTGGACACCCTCTAGAGAGAAGGATTTTTTCTTCTGGGTTTCTTGATATCCTTACATTCTTTGCAGATATTGATGAGTGCTCCCAAGATCCTTCTCCATGTGGTCCCAACTCTGTCTGCACCAATTCTGAAGCTTCCTACACTTGTAGCTGCAGTCCAGGATTTCAACCCAAACCAGAAGGCTCCTGGGAATATGGCAACTTCAGCTGCAAAAGTAATGCTTTTTTGTGTGGCTTGGTGAGAGATTTTGTCTTGCTTTGGTCTTAAAATCCTCCTTTTTGTCAACCAACCGCTGTACCTTCCTCAAATGTTTGCCTCATTCCCAGTTTCTATTTTTTGGATTTTGTTTGTACTTATTTATGAACTGACTCATGGTGTGCTATTTTGGAACATTGCTGAGTTACAATTACTCAATTAACATGAAGTTGAGCAATAGATAAAATTTAATGCAATTAAGAAGCAATGATTAAGCAGTTTCCTACATACTAGGTACTGTGGATGCAGTCTTGGATATTTGCCCTAATAGAGCTGATAGTCTAGGAAAAGATGCAGAGAACACGCATGTAAACTAATTAATATATTACCACAATGAGTGTGGAAGTTTAAAAACCATCATAGTGGCTGGACTGATAGTACAGCAGGGAGAGCATTTACCTTGCATGCAGCTGACCTGATTTCAATCCTTGGCATCCCGTAGGGTCTTCCAAGCCCTACAAGGAGTGATTCCTGATCACAGAGTCAGACTAAGCCTTAGAAACCACCAAGCATGACCCCCAAACCAAACCACCATAACAAAATACAAACAAACAGGGAAAAAACACATGAGTGACCAAAAAAAAAAAACACTTTGGAGTGACTAAGGTGATTTTTTAAAATGTTCAATTAAGTGAAATTCCAAGCTCATGTTTGAAGGATAATTAGGAATTACCCTTTGAAGAGTATAGATCACAATGATCGGCATATTCAAAGGCCCTGGGGCTAACAAAGAATGAGAACATGGACAAATGGCTTTGGATGTCTCTGAGGAGGAGGGTAGATGTCAGGACCTTGTTTGTGTATCATGTGAAGGATTTGGGAGTCATTTTTGGTTGAGAATAAAAGGGAACCAAACATTGTTCAAGTCGTGGATTTCTTGGCATGATAAAAATATAAGTAACTTTTAGGAAGGCAATGAAGTACAATAATAGTAAATGGATTTTTATGAAGTCCTTGCCAATAAAAAGCATGGACTATCATCAATGTCTTTCCTGCTGTATCTCCTTGTCTCCTTCCTAAGGGACCCATTTGGAATTTTATGTTTACTCGTATCTTGTGGTGGTTGAGGTTTGAATTGGTTGCTTCTCTCTCTCTCTCTCTGTGTGTGTGTCTTTCTCTCTCTCTCTCTTTTTTTTTTTGCTTTTTGGGTCACACCCGGCGATGCACAGGGGTTCCTCCTGGCTCTGCACTCAGGATTTACTCCTGGCGGTGCTCAGGGGACCATATGGGATGCTGGGAATCGAACCTGGGTCGGCCGTGTGCAAGGCAAACGCCCTACCCTCTGTGCTATCTCTCCAGCCCCTCTTTATCTCTCTCTCTAGGGGTTCCTTTCAAGTGTAGAGAAGATGTGACACCCGAAAATGAGTGGGTGAAATTATGCCAAATGGGAGTCGCAGTGGAATCCAAATACGTAAGAATATGTGTGTGTGTGTGTGTGTGTGTGTGTGTGTGTGTGTGTGTGTGTGTGTTTTTGGGGTTAAAATCCGGTGATGCTAAGGGTTACTCCTGGCTCTGCACTCAGGAATTACTCCTGAAAGTGCCCAGGGAACCCTATGAAATTCTGAGGATTGAACCCAGGTCTGCAGCATGCAAGGCAAACACCCTCCCCACTGTACTATGGCTCTGGCCGCCACATAAGAATATATTTGAAGGGTTCCAGCTCTTGATATTTTTTCCCTAAAGCTGTTTAGGTGTCTGGTGCTGTTTTGTGGCTTTACCCAAAGCCAACATGACAATGGACTGGAGCTTCTCTCCTTGTAACAGTCCGAACGTGTGTTGTGGCAAGCTGATATCAGGAATACATCTGCTCTGCCCTCATCAGGCCAAGACCCCACATGGTGTTCTGATGGCTGCTGCAGCCCCTACGGCCACATCTGCATTCCAGCTTGTGGTCAGGAGAGAAAGGAAACTAAAATAGCACTTTTCTTGTTGAAAGTGAAAGAAGCACCAGCAGTTCTCATGGCTTACTCTTGGCTTTGTGCTCAAGGATCACTCCTGGTGGTGCTCAGGGGACCATATATGTGGTGCCAGGGATTCAGACTAGGTTTGGCCTCATGTAAGGCAAACACCTCAAGCCGTACATGATCTCTCTAGCTCACAATTTCCATTTAAGAGCGTGAGATGGGGCTTGGGGAGATAGCCCAGCAGACTGATCACACGCTTTGCATACGGGAAGTTTGAGTTTGAACCCTGGCACCGTCTGGTCCCCTGAGCACTGTCACTACTGATTACTGATCAGTGACTAGTCCTTGAGCACCGCTGAGTGTCGCTTAAGTCACCCCCCCCCACCAGAGAGTTTGATCTAAGATCAGTCTGTTCTCGCCTCACAGAAATTAGTCATAGGCATCACACGAGGCTGCAAAAAGACTTACCTAAAATGTGGGGATCACGTTTTAAAATATTTTTTTGGTTTGGGGGCCACACCTGGCGATGCTCAAGGTTCACTCTTGGTTCTGCATCATGAATTACTCCTGGAAGTGCTTGGGGGACCCTATGGGATGCTGGTTGGTTGCATTCGAGGTAGTGCCCTCCCCACTGTGCTATTTCTCTGGTCCCAATACACTGTCTTTTTGGGCTTGGAGTGATAGCACAGTAGATAGGGTGTTTGCCTTGCGTGTGGCCAACCGGGTTCGATTCCCAGCATCCCATATGGTCACCTGAGCACCGCCAGGAGTAATTCCTGAATGCAGAGCCAAGGAGTAATCCCTGTGCATTGCCGGGTGTGGACCCCAAACCAAAAAATATTTTAATACGTGATCCCTAAATTTTAGATAAGTCTTTCTGCAGCCTGGTGTGATGCAAAAAAACAAAAAAAAAAGAAGAAAAAAATCAATACATTGTCTTTGTAAAGCAAAACTATTAGAACTTTATTACAAGTGAAGGTGCTTGTTCTGTGTCTGTGTCTCTGAGACACAGATGCTTCAAAGAGAACGCAATGCTTTAAGGCCAGGTGTGGAGGCAGTTGGATGGTCCAGTTTGTCCATTCTATTCTGGGCAGGTGGGACTCATTTATGCTCATGAGTATTTTTTTTTGTCCTCTGCTGGGGAATTCAGGTTTCCTTGTGTGAACAGATGAATATGACCTTTGGCGTTCTGGACAAAGTCTGTGACAAAAACACCTCCACCATGTCCCTGAAGGTAACGAGGATGTCGACCTCATGTCTCTGCTCTCTAAGCTCTACTAATCTATAGACAGCCCCTAAAGACTTTGTAATGAGCGACTTTCATGCTCAGTGGATTACAGTTATAAGTGAAGGAAGTATTCTTTCAAAAAAATAATAAATGGGTTATGTGCCAACGTTTTATGTTTTACCGCCTTAAGGCAGTACATTAGAGGGCATTCAGAATGAACACAGTAAAATCACATCACCCTTTTCTGCCTAGTTCTATGTGGTCTTTTATTGTTGTAGTCTTTTTTTCCTTTTTTATTTGTTTGTGGGACACATCTGGTGATGATAAGGGCGTACTCCTGGTTCTGTGCTCAGGGATCACTCCTGGTGGGCTCAGGGGACCATAAGAGGAGCCAAGGATAGGAACTGATTCGGTCGCTTGCAAGGCCAGCACTTTATTCACGGTACTATTCCTCCTGGATATAGCCCTCCTGGGCTGGAGCGATAGCACAGAGATAGGGCATTTGCCTTGCATGCAGCCAGCCCGGCCGAGCCAGGTTCGATTCCTCCACCCCTCTCAGAGAGCCCGGCAAGCTACCGAGAGTATTCAATATGCCAAACACAGTAACAAGTCTCAAAATGGAGACGTTACTGGGCCCGCTCGAGTAAATCGATGAACAACGGGAGGACAGTGACAGTGACAGTGACTATTCCTCCAACCCCATTTTTTTGGCCACACCTGGTGGTGCTCAGTTATTTCTCCTGGCTCTGTGCTCAAGGATCATTCCTGGCTGGGCTCAGGAGACCATATCATGTGGTACCAGTGATTGAATCTGGATTAGCCACGTGCAAGGCAAGTGCCTTACCTATTCCTACTATGCCACTCCTCCAATCCCCTGTGCATTTTATAGTTTAAACTAAAAGTTCCTGTTCCCCTTTAGATCGTTCTTTGTCTTTCTTTCTCTGCATGTCACGTATGAGTGAATTAATACGGTGCTTGTCTTCCTCTCTCTGACATGCTTCACTAAGTATGCTACCATCTGGCTCTGTGAGCCCATTCATATTGTTGCCAATAGCAGAATTTTATCATTTTAACAGCTTGTTAGAATTCCATCCTGTGTGTATGCACGCGTGTGCGTGCATGTGTGTACACACACACGCACACACCACCACCACCATCAACAACAACAACACAACCACTACGACCACATCCTCTGTTTTATTTTTTGGTTTGTTTTTGGAGTACACCTGGAAGTGCTCAGGGCTTACTCTTGGTTCTGCACTAAGGAATTACTCCTGGTAGTACTTGGGGGCCCTATGGGGGTGCCAGGGACCCAACTCAGTTCAGCCGTGTGCAAGGCAAGCACCCTACCTGCTGTACTCTTGCTCTGGGTCCCACATCTTTTTATTCATTCATCTTTACTTTTTTTTTTTGCTTTTTTAAACTACACCCAGCTGTGCTCAGGGCTTACTCCTGGCTCTGTACTCAGGGATCACTCCTGGTAGGGATCATGAGACCATATGGGGTGCCGGGGATCGAACTTGGGTCAGTCATGTGCACGGCAAATTCCCTACCTGCTGTAGTATGACTCCAGCTTCCACATCCTCTTTACTGATCTTTCAATGAGAACTTCAGGTTGTTGTTTGTGGCAAATAATGCTGCCCCAAAAGAGGTGCACATCTATTAGTTAACCTACTGTATGAGAGAAGAAGAAGGAGGAGGAGGAAGAGGAGGAGGAGGAGGAAGAGAAAAGGAGGAGGAGGAGGAGAAGAGGAGGAGGAGGAGGAAGAAGAAAAAGAAGAGGAGGAAGAGGAGGAGGAGGAAGAAGAAGAAGAGGAAGAAGAGGAATAAGAATTGTGTAGGCAATAGAGGCAGGCTGTGGAGGTGGGGGGGGAGAGGTAGGTGAGAGGGACAGACAGACAGACAGACAGATAGATAGTGACAGAGACTAGACAGAGAGAAGACAGACAGACATACACACAGAAACAGAGAATGCCACAAACACATCATTGCTTGCAGGAAATAACTGAGAACTTTGCTTCTGTGCTTGAACAAACATCCACCTGGTCCAACTTCACCAAAGAAGAGACATCCTCCCTGGCCACGGTCTTACTGGAGAGTGTCGAAAGCATCACGTTGGCATCTCTCCTGAAACCCGCAGTGAATGCCAGCCGGACCATTCAGACAGAACACTTAGGTAGGCCATAACCTTCCTGGCAAGGGTCCCCTGGGATTCGATTAAGTGTGGACTCTGGCACTGTGACTCCCTAGGACTTCCCCACCCCCCCATTTCTCCAGGTGTTTCAACCCTCTCAACTCACAGCAAAGCACGTCTACTATCATTCTTTTATTTCTTTATTTAGTTTTGGGCTTGGGGCCACACCCAGAGATGCTCAAAAGTTACTCCTGACTGTGTGCTCAGAGATCACTCCTGGCAGGGTTCAGGGGACTCTATGGGGTGCTGGGGCTCGAACCTAGGTTGGCTGCGTGCAAGACAAGCACTTCCCTGCTGTGCGACTGCTCTCACCCAGTGATCACCATTCCGTTGACTTTTATCTTCTCTTTCCCTAGTTCCTCCTTCAATACACCAGAGATCACTTGTAAAGCTCCAATTGGGTTTCTCCTATATTTGGTGATGCTACCCCCTACCTCCATCAAGGGGCTCAAACTCTTCTCCGTGATGAATCGCTTTCCCTTTCCTTCCTCTGCTTGTGATCTGAGATCAACATAGATTTCTTGGACGGGAACCAAATTCAGGACTTTCTCTCTGAGTGACCCCAAGGAAGCTCTTCTTGTTGTCTTTTAGATATTGAGAGCAAAGTTATCAATGAAGAATGCTTGGAAAGTGGTGGAGAATTTAACTTGAAAGCCAAAGGGGACAAGATTAATATTGGGTGTTCCACAATCGAAGAGTCTGAATCCACAGGTAGAAATGTCTCTCCCAGCTTCTGAAGGCTGAGTATTGACCAATCTCTATTTTGAGTGAGGGGTGTTGGTGGCACACCTGGCGATGCTCAGGGGTTACTCCTGACCATGCACTTAGAAATTATTCCTGGCAGTGCTTGGAGGACACTATGGGATGCTGAGGATTGAACCTGGGTCGGCCACGTGCAAGGCAAACACCCTACTCGCTGTACTATGGCTCTGGTCCCAAGATCCCCTTTTAAGAAACGGAAAGAGCAGTTATGATTCAATCAGAAAATACTTATTTGTTATCTCCTACATGCTAAAACCTCTCCTAGATGGTATCAATGATGCTAAAAATGAAAATGGTCCGTGGTATCAAGGAATTTTCTGTTAGAGTGGTTTGACGTTAATAAATGACTAGGGTATTGAGACATTCATGACCCAATATAATCACATATATCCAGGGAAGACTGGGTGTGGTGAGGCTGGAAATGTGAAATATGTACCAGAGATCAAAACTTGGTGCAAAAAAGAAAAAGAAGGCTGTATAATATTCCACAAGTTATTCCTTATTTTCATTAGATTTTGAGATGATGATAATTTGCACTTATTGAGCTATCATTTGATTGAATTTTGCCTGATTTGCACTTTTCTAAAATGGGCTGATGGAGGGCTGGAAAGATAGTACAGTGAATAGGGTGATTGACTTCACACAGCTTACCCAGGTTCGATCCCTGGCATCCCGTAGGATTTTCTGAGGATGGCTAGGAGTGATTCCTAAGAACAGATCCGGGAATAACCCCTGAGCATGTTAGGTGCAGCTCCAAAACAAAACAAAAATAAAATGTGACTCCTGAAACACTTCAAAATTATGAATGTGTTGGGGCCAGAGAGATAATATAGTAGGTAAGGTGTTGGCCTTTCACCAGGAAAGCTGGGTTTGATCCTGAAACTGCACACACCTTTCCCCAGCCCTGAGCCCCACCAGGGGTAATGCCTGAGCACAGATCTATAAGTACTGAGCAGAGTCAAATGGAAGTCAACTTCCTCCCTCCCTACCCCCGCCCCGAAACAAAAACACAATGTGATGCTTACTTCCCCAGAGGAAGGCGGTAATCTTTAGAAAGAATTGGCATATTTTTCTGTGGAGGCCCGGGTGATGAGGGAAATAGAATTTCTGTTGCTACCATCCAAATATATATCACGACACCAGAGTGTTCATTAATGAGACAGAACACATGTGAGTGATAATATTTCTTTACAATAGTTTGGTTTGTTTTGGGGGCCACACTCCGATGCTCAGGGCTTATTTCTGACTCTGCACTCAGGGATCACTCTTGGCAGAGCTCATGTGACCCTATGGGGTGCCAGGGCTTGAATCCGGGTCAGCCACATGCAAGGCAAACACCCTCTGCACTGAACTACTGCTCCAACCTCTGTATGCGTGATTTATTTATTTATATATTTATCTTTTTGGGTCACACCCAGCAATGCTCAGGGGTTACTCCTGGTTCTGCACTCAGGAATTACTCCTGGCGGTGCTGGGGGACCATATGGGATGCTGGGAATAGAACCCAGGTTGGCCTCGTGCAAGGCAAGCGCCCTACCCGCTGTGCTATCACTCCAGCCCTTGTATGCGTGATTTATAACAAGTTAATTAATCCCTTGCTTTGAAATTTGCAGGGACCATGGGGATAGCTTTCGTCTCCTTTAAAGGTATGGAATCTGTTTTAAATGAGAGCTTCTTTCAAGACTCTAAGTCCAAGAGGAAGTTGAAGATAAATTCTCATATTGTTGGGGGCATCATGACTGGGGAGAGGAAAGAAGGCTTTTCTCGTCCGATCATCTACACTCTGGAGAACATAGAGGTTTGTGATGATGTCACCTCTACCACCCCTCCCCCCACAAACCATTGATAATTCCCCAGTGGACAAAACTGATCTCTCCTGGGGACACAAAGAGGCAGCAAGCTTCTAGGGTATCTAGAACTCTGGTCCACTTTCTGTATCCAATTCTAGAAGAATAAACTCTCCGACTTTTGTGTGGAGTTCCATTCCTCAACAGGTTAGCAGGTTTTAGGATGAGTAAATGATGTTTAGGTTGGTGAATGTTTATGATGAGGGGTCAGAGAGCATGGGAGAGCATTTGCCTTGTAATCAGTCATCCTGGGTTCCTCTAGGGTTCCCCCAAACCCCATCTGGAGTGATCCCTGAGCACAGAGCCAGGAATCGGGCCTGAGCCCCACCAGGTGTGGCCTCCAAACAAACCAAAATATATACCAAATGCAGGATCACTGTAGCATTGTCGCACTGTCATCCCGTTGTTCATCGATTTGCTAAAGTTGGCACCAATAACGTCTCCATTGTGAGACTTGTTGTTACAATTTTTGGCATATCGAATATGCCATGGGGAGCTTGCCAGACTCTGCCATGCGGGTGGAATACTCTCGGCAGCTTGCAGGGCTCCCTGAGAGGGATGGAAGAATCAAACCCAGGTTGGCCATGTGCAAGACCCTCCCTGCTGTGCTATCGCTCCTGCCCCGAATGCAGAAATGAAGAAATAAAGGGTCCTATCATGGCTTTTACAAAAGGAATGTTCTTCTAGTTCTAGAATATTCTTCTAGTTCTTCAGATGGTGAGTCGCCTTCAAAGACCATCCCTGCATAATGAAATACAAGCATTTTTCATCAGTGTCCAAAAACATACTTTGTATCTTTTTGCCCCAAATGACTCTTGAGGTTGGTTTCCACTGGAACCAGTGTGAGGAATTCTTGAGTAACCAGGATCTTTATTTTTTTCTGTGGGGGGGAGGGTCACACTAACGATGCTCAAGGTTCCTCCTGGCTCTGCACTTAGGAATTACTCCTGGCTGTGCTCGGGGGACCATGTGAGTTGCTGGGGATCGAACACGGGTAGGCGACATGCAAGGCAAATGCCCTATCTACTGTACTATCACTCTGGCCCGTGACCTGGGTCTTTGATGATTGTCCTTTTAAACCACACCAGATAATACTCAGGGTTTACTCTGGCGGTGTTCAGGGGACCCTATGAGGTGCCGGGGATCAAACCTGGTTTGGTCGTGTGCAAGGCAAGCACCCTCCCCACTATCCTACTGCTCCAGCCCCTTGTTTGTTTGTTTTGTTCTAGCCAAAGCGGAAGTTTGAGAGACCCATCTGTGTTACCTGGAGCACAGACAAGGAAGGTGGAAGGTGGAAGTCCTCTGGCTGTGCAGTGCTCGAAGCGACCGAGAACCACACTGTCTGCAGCTGCTATCAACTGGCAAACTTAGCCATCATCATGGCATCCGAGGAGCTCACGGTCAGCACCGAGCCTCTGGCTCCCCATATCCAATGGGTAATCAGGCTCAAGAATCCATTATGTGTCTGCCAGGGTTCTTGGCATTAAGGGGGCTGCTACTCTTGGCGATTTCCTGGCCTTCCTCCAAAGCCATGACACTGACCGGGAAAATGAGAAATGAGAAATGAGGAGGGCACTTGCCTTGCAAGCAGCCAACCAGGGTTCGATCCCCAGCACCCCACAGATTGCCCTGTGTGCCGCCAGAATTCATACCTGAGTCCAGAGCCCAGAATAACTCTTGATAATAATTTATGGAGGTGAATGATAATGCATGGGGGTAGATGATAATAAAAGGGGTGGATAATAATGCATGGGGGTGGATGAATGCATGGGGAGTGGATAATAATTTGTGGGAGTGGATAATAAAACATAGAGGTGGATGATAAGGGTACTATCAAAGGCCAAGATGCCAGAGGACGCTATGGACTTTGTTCTGAGTGAGTGCCAAAGACGGAAAACGCTCTCCCCGCCCTCCCAGTCCTTCCCATTTAAATGAAGACTCTGGAGACCTCGTTTTCTTGCATGGCAGGTGGGAATGTTGGCTCTCAGTGCTAATGTTGGCTCTCAGTGCTGGCTCTCTCTCTCTCTCTCCTGGCAGATGGACTTCTCCTTGTACGTCATTAGCCAGCTGGGCATGACCATCTCCCTGCTGTGTCTCGCCCTGGCCATAGCCACCTTCCTGCTATGCCGCAGCATTCGCAGTCAGAACACCTTCCTCCACCTGCACCTCTGCGTGTGTCTCTTCTTGGCCAAACTCCTGTTCCTCACCGCTGTAGACAAGACTGACCATCAGGTCTTGCACACCCCAACCTGTGCACCCCTCACCACCCTTAATTTCCACCCCTCATCCTTCTTCATTCTTTTTTTTTTTTTTAAATTTTTATTGGTGGTGGCTGGCCACCAGCCACCACCATGCTGAGACCACTCTCCGCACACATGAAGGTACCGGCAGAGGAACAAAGGCACGTGGGTCCCGGGGCTGAGATCTCCAAGCCTACTCGGATTGGAGTCAAGCATCCTCCACCCACACCCTCCAAATTCCAGTATGCGGGGTCACACCCACCAACTGGCCCCCTGGCACCGTGTAATCCCATCAACGGCCAAGATCCAGAGACTATAAAACCCAGCTCCTGGGAGCATGCGACTGCATTCGCGGCGGCGCGACATCTTATTATCTTATTCCTACTTTGGACAAACTGGCAGGCTACCGAATGTAACCTGCCCACACGGCAGAGTCTGGCAAACTCCCCGTGGCGTACTCAATATGCCAAATACCAGTAACAATGAAGGGTCTCATTCTCCTAACTCTGAAAGAGCCTTAAATATGGCACTTTAAAAAAGATCTTAGGGCTAGGATGAAGGAGACGTTACTGGGGCCTGCTCGAGGCAATCGACGAATGACAAGATGGTTGTGATTGATTGTGATTAATTTTTATTAGTGAGACACCATGAGGTACAGTTGTACAAAATAGGAGACTAACACCCAAGAATGGCCGAGATTAGTACCAGGAATTTTGCTCCTTGTTCATTCTTACCCAAGTCCCTCTGGGTCTGGCCTCTGGAGCAGATTCTGCTCCCTCCCTAGTGGACACTTGGCTAATAAGTAGAGATCGATAGTATTGGCTGCCATCCTCGCCCCAAAGATAGTGGTGCTGTCACCTAGTGGTCGGAGGCCAAAGAGGCTGTTAAATATTCCGGGATCACACCACCTTTGCGTTTCTTTCCCATCATTGATTGAGGACCTTTATTGGTTTATTCTTTGTTTTGCTTCCCTATCCCAGCGAGCTCTAGAACAGGAATAAGTTTGACTCGAAGTTACGCCCTAGAAGCATCTCAGAAATAGAACAGGTTCTGGGTGAAATGCTCATTCTTTTCAAGGAGAGATACTTCAGCTCCTCACCTCCTGAAGAACGAGGAAAAGCGAGGAATTGGTCTCACTAGCCTCATCTCACCTGGGTGGACAAAACTCTCTTCTGTAAAGAGCCGATTTTGGGGGCTGGAGAGATAGTACAGCGGGTAGGGTTAGTTAAGTTTGCACATGGCTAACTCGGGTTCAATCCCTGGAACCCACATACAGTCCCCCCCGACCACCACCAGGAGTAATTCCTGAGTACAGTAACCCATAAGCATCTCCCCCTTCAACAACGCAAACAAACAAAAACAACATAAAGTGGCAGATTTATACTCTTATATAAAATTCACCTGACTCATTGCACATAACGTACAACCCAATCAGTCATCTTGAAAACTCCCATTTACACAAAGCTTCTTCATTCCAGTCAAAGTGTCCCCTCCCCATCCCCCTTCTCCTCCCCCTGCTCCTCTGGGGTGGAGGGGAGTGATCCTGAGTGCATGTACTTCTGCTCTGCAGACAGGCTGTGCCATCATCGCGGGCTTTCTGCATTATTTTTTCCTCGCTTGCTTCTTCTGGATGTTGGTGGAGTCCGTGATGCTCTTCCTTATGGTCAAGAACCTGAAGATAGTCAACTACTTCAACTCTCGCAACATCAAGATGCGGCACCTCTGTGCCTTTGGCTATGGGCTCCCGGGGTTGGTGGTGGTGATCTCGGCCAGTGTCTATCCACAGGGATACGGGATGCATAATCAGTAAGTGACACCCTTCTCCCTTCCCGGAGACGCCCTTCTGGCTGCGTTCACGCCCATCATTACAGGAACACTGAGAGGCACGATCAGGGTCACAACGGTTCTGGCTACTCTTACTGAACTCATCCTTTAGATGTGGCTCTCTGCATTGCCATTTGCGCATTGCACAAACTGAGCAGACTTTTCTTTCCTAGTAAACCAATGCTTTCACTATGCAAGAGAAAACAGGAGATGTATGGTTACTCAATGGTAAAGTGCATGCCTTGTGCGCTTGAAATCTGAGTTCGATCTCTGGCTCCCCTGGGGAAAAGAGAAGAATATTTAGCTGAATGCAGATCAACCACAAGCTCATTGATTGTGCAAATTCTGCCAGAAAACCAACATCAAGAGAAGTCAGGAGGAGTCAGAGAAGGTGGCTTTTGAACTGAGTTGAGAAGGTCAAGGTGTAGCCACTGAGAAAGAAGAAAAAGGGATGGTTAAGGTTATAAATTGAGGATAGATTTTTTTTCTGGTTTAGGGGCCACATCAGGCCATGCTCAGGGCTGACTCCTGACTCTGTGTTCAGGGATCACTCCTAGCCTTGCTCAGGGGACCCTATGGGGTGCCAGAGATCTAATATGCATAGGACATTCGAGAGAAACATCCTACCCCTTGTACTATTTCTCTAACCTATTGATAGATGTTATCTAGGGCACACAGCAAATATTTCAAATAAGGAACACTGAACCAGAAAAAGGAGGTCTCAAAGAGGGCTTGCTGGGGTCCAAAGAAAATAATCAGGTAGAGACTGGAGTGATAGGACACGGGGGGGGGAGGGGAGGAAACTCTCCTTACATGTGGCTGACCTGGGTTTAATCTCTGGCACCCCATAGGGTCCCCAAGTTCTGCCAGGAGTGATCCCTGAGTGCAGAGTCAGGAATAAGCCCTGAGATGTACCAGGTGTGGTCCAGAAAGGTCATGTGACTTGCTTTCACCTAAATGTTTTCAGCCCTAGCTCATCTCCTGATATTTTCTCCCACCAATGCATTTGGTGGAGCACGTCAAGGTGAGGATTCCAAGAGAAGCACTGACTGTCTCTGTTTCTCTCCATAGCTGCTGGCTGAACACCGAGAAGGGCTTTGTCTGGAGTTTCCTGGGGCCAGTTTGTACCATCATTACGGTAAGTTCACCGCCAGGTGCCCGTATATTCAGGAGCATGTTGGAAGCCAAAGGTCACTTAAATTCCTTTCTGACATTCTCCTTGAGTCATTCCTTTTCCTTTCTGTAGCACAGCGGGTAGGGTGTTTGCCTTGCATGGCCAACCCGACCCGAGTTCGATTCCTCCGCCCCTCTTGGAGAGCCCGGCAAGCTACTGAGAGTATCTTGCCCGCACGGCAAAGCCTGGCAAGCTACCCGTGACGTATTCAATATGCCAAATACAGTAACAAGTCTCAATGGAGATGTTACTCGGCCCGCTTGAGCAAATCCATGAACAACAGGAGGACAGTGCAGTGCTACAGTCTAGGAAATATGGTAACCTATTGTTAAAGTTAATGGTTGGTTTCACGCTCGTTATTCATGGCCTCTGCGGAGTTTTTTATTTTCTATTTTGGGTGTTTGGGGCCACACCAGACTGTGCTTAGGGCTGACTCCAGGTTCTGCGCTCACACCTGGCAGTGCTTGGGGTACCTTCTGGGATGTTGGGACTCAAACCCATGTTGACTGGCTGCAAGGGAAACGACCCCACAACTGGGCCATCACTCTATTGCCAGTTTCTTTTATTTCATTGCCAGCTCAGCTAGAGACATACAACAGAGAAGGGGCGTTAGTCACGCCCAGTTTATTAGTGTGGGTATCTTCTAGTTAAATGAGCTCAAAGCAAGTACTCCTGAGTTCGGGATGTTGTCACGGGTCACGAGCCTCCCGTTGTTCATCGATTTGCTCGAGCGGGCCCAGTAACATCTCCATCATGAGACTTGTTACTGTGTCTGGCATATCGAATACGTCACGGGTAGCTTGCCAGGCTCTGCCGTGCGGGCGAGATGCTCTTGGTAGCTTGCCGGGCTCTCCGAGAGGGGTGGAGGAATCGAACTCGGGTTGGCCATGTTGGCCGCTTGTAAGGCAAACGCCCTACCGCTGTGCTATTGCTCCAGCCCAGGGATGTTGTATGGGAACTAAACTGGAGGTGAGGGTAGAAACTAGGACTGTGGGGACCAGAGCGATAGTATAGCAGGGAAGGCGCTTGCCTTGCACATGACTGATGCAGGTTCCAGTCACAGCATCCTGTGCGGTCCCAAGAGCACTACCAGAAGTAGTTTCCTGAGCACAGTGCCAGGAATAACTCCTGAGCATTGCCAGTGTAAGCCCAAATCCAAAAAAGAATTTAAAAAATTAGGAAGGCGGGGCTGGAGCAATAGCACAGTGGGTAGGGCGTTTGCCTTGCACGCAGCCAACATGGCTGACACAGGTTCGATTCCCAGCATCCCAAATGGTCCCTGAGCACCGCCAGGGACCATTTCTGAGTGCCTGAGCCAGAAGTAACCCCTGAGCATCACCGGGTGTGACCCAAAAAGCAAAAAAATAAAAAACTAGGAAGGCAATCAGTTATGAATGAAATTCCATTGCTGTCCGGTAGCGATTGGCTTGCATGGAGTGGTTCCTGGACACTGTCTCGGCTGGGTAGTCGAGGTAGTCGAGCCCTTGCCTGACCTCTCCATCCCATCCCTTCCCTTCCCTTCCCTTCCCTTCCCTTCCCTTCCCTTCCCTTCCCTTCCCTTCCCTTCCCTTCCCTTCCCTTCCCTCCCCTCCCCTCCCCTCCCCTCCCCTCCCCTTCCCTTCCCTTCCCTTCCCTTCCCTCCCCTCCCCTCCCCTCCCCTCCCGTCCCCTTCCCTCCCCTTCCCTTCCCTTCCCTCCCCTCCCGTCCCCTTCCCTCCCCTTCCCTTCCCTCCCCTTCCCTTGGCAGATCAATTCCGTCCTCCTCACTATGACCTTGGTTATCCTGAGGCAGAGTCTCTGCAGTGTGAATGCTGAAGTCTCAAAGATCAAAGACACCAGGTTATGACCCCTTTCCTCCACAACTTCCCTCTCTCTCCTCCCCTCCCCTCTCCCTCCTCTCCTCCTCCTTCCACTCCTCTCCTTCCCTCTTCTCCCCTCTCCTCCCCTATCCTCCTCTCCTTCCCTCCTCTCTTTCCCTCTCCCTATTCTCCTCCCCCTCCTCCCTTCTCCTTCATCCCCTCCCCTCCCTCTCCTTCCTCTCCCCATCCCCTCTCCCTCCCTCCACTCCTCTCCTTCCCTCTTCCTCCTCTCCTTTCCCCCCTCTCTCCACCCTCTCCCTCCTCTCCCTTTCTTCTTGCTGCAAATATTCCTTGGGTCCCTCTGAGAGACCTGGTTCTGTGCCTGAGATGTGATTGTAGGGTCTGGAGATCTGGAGGATCAACACCACTCCCACCCCCCACCAGAGGGCTGCTGGACCACAGAAGCCATGTGGGTTTTAGAAAAGACTTCAACGTCCGAAACTTCGTGTCCCTCTTAAATAGGGCAGTTAACACAACCCACTTCCTGTGGCTTATGACACATCACAAGTAGTGACTAGAAGGAATGACTGTTCTATAAATTTAACACCTTTTTTGGTTGTTGTTGTTGTTTGGTTTTGGGTCCACATCCAGCAATGCTCAGGGATTACTCCTGGCTCTGCGCTCAGGAATTACTCCTGGCAGTGCTTGGGGAACCCTGTGAGATGCCAGGGATTGAACCTGGGCTGGTCACATGCAAGAACAGCAGTCCTGCACTCAGGAATCACTTCCGGTAGGACCTGGAGGGGGGGGATCCTATGGGATGCCGGGGATAGAACCCGGCTCAGTGGCGTGCAAGGCCAGAGCCCTCCCCTTTCTCCTGTCACCCAGCCCTGTACCCTCTCTTGCCTTTTGAGCATCTGTTGGATTTGATATCCCTAGATTTAGATTTGAAGATTTTGCCCCGCAGCCATTCCCATCAGATGCCCGGCCAAGAAGGAGCACAGACACATCCCAGAACCTCATCCTCTGCTATTCTCTTCTCTTCCAGGCTACTGACGTTCAAGGCCTTTGCCCAACTTTTTATCTTGGGGTGCTCCTGGGTGTTGGGTCTCTTCCAGATTGGCCCCATCTCCAGCGTCATGGCTTACCTGTTCACCATCATCAACAGCCTGCAGGGGGCGCTCATCTTCCTCATTCACTGTCTGCTCAACCGCCAGGTGCGTTGCTGGTCCCCAGCTGACTTCAGCTCCCGGGAGCTTCTGACGGGGTCTCAGCGGGGACTCAGCTCTCTGGGACATGTCCCCATCCCCAGGTGCGGGAAGAATATAGGAAATGGATCCTCGGGAAGATCAAACCCAGCTCCCAGTCCCAGACCTCCGGGATGCTGTTATCTTCCATCCCTTCCACTTCGAAATCAGTGAGTGGCCGCGTGGGGGAGGCGGGTTCTGGCCAGATGGAAGGACTGTCTATCTGTCTGCCTGCCTGCCTGTCTGTCTGTCTGCCTCTTAGTGGTCTGCATCCCAGGGTGTATCAGGGATACAGTGGGAGCTGTGCCTTTCTTCTGGCATTTTTTCATTGGATAAAGCATGGAGGTTAAGAGGCAGGATTTGGAGCCAGATGCCTGGGTGTAAATCCCAATGCTTTTAGACTGGGGGGAGAGAGAGAGAGAGAGAGAGAGAGAGAGAGAGAGAGAGAGAGAGAGAGAGAGAGAGAGAGAGAGAGAGATTCTCTTGCATGCAGCTCACCCAGGTTCTATTCCCAGCACTCCATAAGGTCCCCCGAAACACCACCAGGAGTGACCCCCGAACCAGGAGCAAGCCCTTAGCACTGCTGGGTGTGCTCCTCCTCAAAAAACAGAAGTTAAAATCAAATTCTCATCCTTCTCACAGTGGCTATGCAACTTAAACAAGAGAAAGCAATAAATGAGAATGATAGAAAGTCAGCACCTGTTAAAGATTTTATTCTCTTATTTATTTAATTAGTTTTGTTTTTTGGGTCACACCTGGTGATGCTCAGGGGTTACTCCTGGCTCTGCACTAAGGGATTACTCCTGGTGGTGCTCAGGGGACCATATGGGATGCTGGGGATAGAACCTGGGTCGGCCGCATGCAAGGCAAATGCCCTCCCAGCTGGACTATTGCTCTGGTCCCCTTGGTGCTGCCTTTGCCACTTCCCATCTAAACCCCAGTACACCCATCTAGTCGTGACCCTGGAAACGCATTTGGATTCATTCTGCCTCTGATCTTAAGGAAATGCTCTTTCTCTCTGCACAAAATTAAAGTTTTTCTACTTTCAAATACTCTCTGGAGCAATGATGGAGGAACACAGGAATCTCCTTGGAAATCTCTTTATGGCTTCATGCAGAGGTGGAGGCTTCTCCCTCATTCCAGAATCTTCCAAACCATCTAGGTGGAGCGTGAACCGGCTGGATGTCTTTGCCATGACGATTTCACGCACTGCAGAGAAACAGGAATTTCTGTTTCAGATGACGTTGCAACTTTCGGGTCCTGCAGCTCTTTGAACTTGCAGGGAGAAATATCAGCCAAATCTCCGCAAGACGAGGAACGCTGCTGAATTATCATCGTATTTTTCGCCAACGTCTCCTGGCTTTAAGCTTACCTCTCTGGGACCTCTCTTATGCCCAGCAAAACAATAATCTTCAGTAACTGATGTGTTATCTGATAGATAACTTCACCTTTCACAGCTGCTTAATGAACCTTAATGAATGAACCTTTTTCATTAACCTTAATCATTCTCTTTTTAGTTATTTATTAATTCCTTTGGTTTGGGGCCACAGTCGGCAGTGTTCAGGGCTTATTCCTGGCTCTATGCTCAGGAATTACTCCTGGCAGAGCTTAGGGGACCCTATGGGGTTCTGAGGATTGAGGCTGAATCAGCATGTGCAAGGCGATTGTCATACCCATTACACTATCTGGCTCCAAGCTTTATTTTTTAAATTTTTAAAATTTATTTATTTTTTTAATGTAGGAGTACTGCTATTTATTCAGCCACTGATTAGCTGATTGAATTGGGCAGGAACCCCACCTTACTTTTTTTCCCCATTTTTTATAATTTTATTTATTAAATCACCGTGAGATCAGTTACAAAGCTTTCGGGTCTAAGTCTCGGTCATACAATGAAACACCCGTCCCTTCTCCAGTGCCCATTCTCCACCCCCAACAACCCCAGTATACCCCCATCGCACACCCTCCCCCTATCTGTGATGCAGATGATTTCTACATTACTCTCTCTCTACTTTGATCACATTCAATATTTCGTCACCAGACCCACCATTATTATTTGAGATTTTACCCCAACACTCAGATCTGCTCAAAAGGTAACCGTAGAAAATTTGTTTTCTATTGCTGGTTATGAATAACATATGATGTCACGTGGCTGCAGTAGTGGCCGCGCAATTTTTTTTTATGTAGGAATTTGTGTCCTTCACAAAGGCTTGGGGGATCATATGGGGTTTGGGGGATCGAACCCAGGGAGCTTTTCCATGGGAAGTCAATCCATCTACTTGGAGGAGCAGGGGAGCTCTAGGGTTCCTTGTGGCAGTTTTTTGCCAAGCAGGTCAGCGGTTCAATGCACTTGAGAAACCAGAGGTGCTGGGACCCTGCACTGCATTGCTGAGCCTGATGCTTCCCAGCGATGCCCTGGTGTCTCCAGTTCTGCATTCAGCGATTCTAGGGGTGGGGTGGGGATCCCCTGTGGTACCAGGAAGGAATCAGGGTCATCAATACTAGGCATGTTCCTTCATACCAGGAATCTCTCTCTCCCATCCCCCCGCTCCCCCCCCCCCCCCCGTGACACGTTATTAGGACTAGAAACAATATTGGAAGCAACAGAACTGAAACAGAAACTGCAATATATCGAGTTTGTAAAAATGACTCATAGGTTACCAGGAGGAAGGGTGCTCAGATCTGACTCTTGTTTTTTTTTTTTATTGCTTAGGGATTATTCCTGGAGGGCGTCGGGGGCCATAAGGGAGACTGAGGAGTCAAAGCTAGGTGGGGTGCAATGCCCTCCCTGCTGCACTATCTCTAGCTCCGTGGAGAAGAGATAGTTTTCATATTCCTTAAGTTGGGCTGGAGCAATAGCATAGCGGGTAGGGCATTTGCCTTGCACGCAGCCAACGCAGCCAATCCGAGTTCAATTCCTCTTTCCCTCTCGGAGAGCCGGGCAAGCTACCGAGAGTATCTCACCCGCATGGCAAAGCCTGGCAAGCTACCCGTGACGTATTGGATATGCCAAACACAGTAACAACGAGTCTTACAATGAAGACGTTGTTGGGCCCGCTCGAGCAAATTGATGAACAACGGGAGGACAGTGCTACAGTGCTAGGTGGGAAAAAAAAATCATTGACCACAACCTTAAAGTTGTCCAATTTTTTTTGGGTGGGTGACCGACCACTAGGCAATGTTCAGGGGTTACTCCTGGCTTTACACTTAGGAATCCCTTCCGGCTGTGCTTGGGGGACCCTATGGGATGTTGGGGATCAAACCCAAGTCAGCCACGTGTAAGGTAAATGCTCTCCCCACTGTCCTACTCTCCAGCACCCCACCCCAGCAATTTTTTTCTCAAAAGCAAATCATCAGAAAAATAAATTTGAACTCCACTTAAGGCCAACTTTGGAAGGAAGCTTCCAGTTATCAGACCATCAGAATCGGGGTGGCCCTCCTGCCTTACCGTTTGTACCCACCCCACGGTGCCTCCAATGACCAGTCAGTCGTTTGATTGTCCTGCGCTGCCTGCCCAGCCATCTAATCAGATGTCCACGTGCCCTGGACCAGCTGCCCTGTGATTCTTCCTCGTTTATTTCTGCATGTTGTGATGCAGTAGGAGTTCGTTTCTCGGATGGAATCAACTATCTCTGAACTCCGTGAAGCCAGAGACAGATGGTGCTGCCCTTTCAGGCAGAATTAGGACCCCCATGCCGGATTTCTGCCCCCTGATTCTCACCTAATTTCTTCTTTTGTTTTTTGGGTCACACCCAGCGATGCACAGGGGTTACTCCTGGCTTTGCACCCAGGGATTACTCCTGACAGTGCTCAGGGGACCATATGGGATGCTGGGAATCGAACCCGGGTCAGCCGCATGCAAGGCAAATGTCCTACCCACTGTGCTATCACTCCAGCCCCTCTCACCTCATTTTTTTTTTTGCTTTTTGGGTCACACCCGACGATGCACAGGGGTTACTCCTGGCTCATGCACTCAGGAATTACTTCTGGCGGTGCACGGGGGACCATAAGGGATGCTGGGAACTGAACTTGGGTTGGCCGCATGCAAGGCAAACGCCCTACCCACTGTGCTATTGCTCCAGCCCCTCACCTCATTTTTAAATGGTTTCATGAATAGTGCATTTCTTTCTTGGAGTCACTTTCCAATAACTCTGTACTCCACAATTAATACCATTATATCTTTTTTCCTACTTTGCCCCATTTTTTCTTTTTTTAAATTTTAATTTGTATTCTTATTCTTTTCTTTTATGGGATTTTTTTTTCGTCCTTAGGGGTTACTCCTGGCTCTGTGCTCAGGCATCACTCCTCGCTGTACTCAGGATAGTCAGTCAATTTACAAAATTGAGTTTACTAGGAGGATTTTTTTTCCAGATGAAACTATATTTTTCTATATTTTTTGCCAACTCCCTTACCAAATACCATCATTTCAAAGTACAGGAAGTTTTCAGAGAAGCACTCATTTATTTACTTATTTATTCATGTACTTAAAAACTGTTTTATTGATTGAAATTCTGTGATTTATAATACGGTTCATGATGGTTTTACAGGCACATAATTCCAGTACCACATCACCAGTGTCACTCCTCCTTTCCCCAAGGACCCCGATGTCCCTCCTCTTCCAAATACCAAACCCCATCAACTCAGTTTGTGTGGATCACTTCTCTTGTGTTTTCTTTAGTTCCTTCTTTCTCCCTTGCTGTGTATATTTAAGTCCCACCTATGAGAGAGATTATTCTGCGTCTATCCCTTTCCTTCTGACATCACTAGCCTGGAGAAATGATTTATTTTTGTTTGTTTGCTTGCTTGCTTGTTTTTGGGGTATACCTGTCAGTGCTCAGGGCTGACTCCTGGCTCAATGCTCAGGGATCACTCCTGGAGGGGTTCGGGGGACCTTATGGGATACTGCGGATCGAACCTGGGTCACCAGCATGCAAGGCAAGCGCCCTCCCTGCTCTACCATCTCTCCACCCCTCAAGAAACAATTCTAACAAAGGAGGAAGTGGTGTTTGTATTTTGTGTCTCAGGTCCGTGCGTGAGTGAAAGTACCACGTTTCCTTCTTTTCTTGAACTCTAGTTTACTCTTTTGTGACAGTGAATAGAAAGTGGTCAGTAAGAAGGACTCATGAAATGGGCCCGACTCATCCAGTGATGGGTCCATGAGCTGGAAGTAATAGGAAGTAGCTAGTCCCATCAAATGGATTCAATAGAGAGTGTTAAGAATGAGAATTTCCTGGGACTGGAGTAATAGGACAGCAGGGAGAGGATAGCTGACCTGGGTTTGATCCTTGGCATCCCATAGGATTCCCCAAGCAAGCTAGGAGTTATCCCTGAACAGAGCCAGGAGTAACCCCTGAACATCGCTGAATATGCCCCCCCCCAAAAAAAATACCCAAGAATTTTCTATAGATGTTGGCAGATAAAAGGATTCTGAATCCAATTCCTGTGTGTGCATGGGGGTGGGGGTATGTGTGTATGTGTGTGTGTGTTTCATATACATCAAATGATTCTCCAACGTGCTACAGTTCAACTCAACTCTGATACTATCTACATGTGAGCACGTGAGACCCTCTAGAGTCACATAAGTCAGTCCACAGGAGATGCCTCTTTCCCATCCCAACTTTAAGCAACTTTATCTTTTTTAATGTTTGATATTTTATTAAAACAAGTTGTGCATAATAGATGTTTCATACATGCAATGTTCCAGCACCAATTCAATCACAAATGTAACTGTCCCTCCACCAATGTCCCCAGTTTCTCATCCACCCCCCCCCGGCAAGGCAACACCCTTAGCAGAATTATTACAAAATTATTACCAAAATTATTAATCACTTAATCACTTAACTTCCCGTTAGTCGTCGATTTGCTCGAGCGGGCGCCAGTAACGTCTCCATTTGTCCCTGTCACGTGCTAGTGTAGCCCAATGGCATCTGTTCGCTCCGGGAACATGAAGGGCCTCAAACCGATTGTTCATGATCTTGATGAAGAAGTCTGACCATCTGGTAGGTGGGCGGCCACACGGTCTTTTGACATCCCGTGGAATCCAGTCGGTAACAGCTCTAGTCCAGCGGTCGTCTTTAAATCTCATTACGTGACCAGCCCATCTGATTTTCGACACCTTGGCAAATGAGACAGCGTCCCTGATCCTTGATCCTCGACGGATGTCGAAACTCCGGATTCTTTCTCTCATTTGAGTGAAACGTGATATTCCAAGCATAGCTCTTTCTATTCTTCTTTGGGAGACCTGAATAGCGTTCTCATCCTGTTTGCGTAGGGCCCAGGTCTCTGAGGCATACGGTAATGCAGGAAGAACAGTGGAATCAAAGAGATGTG